CGGGGGAGGAGGAGGAGGTGCCGGACCTGTGGGGAGAAATAGCTGCAATTAAAACGAGGCCCTTCGCCCCACACCAAATCCCCTGAGGATTCCAAAGCGCCACATGGGGAGACTGAGATGCAGCCACCGCTGGGGCAGGGCAGAGGGAGAACGGCTGCATATAACGCCAACCCCGAGAGGCAGCCCCCTCTGGGGAAGAGGAGCTGGGGAAAAGCAGCAGCATTTCATTCACCTAGGAGAGACACATGGAGAGGAAATCCAGAGACAGGCGATTGATGGATCATGCCTTAAATTAGCCCCGCCCTGTAGCCAGCACTAGGCCCCAGGCACCCCCTCATTCTGACCCCCTAAAATCCTGACCTCCGAAATGCAGCAGGCAGCTGGGGCTGTTCCTGAAAGGATCCAACTGGCAAGTTATGGCAGCTGTCCCACCTAGGAGAGACACATGGAGAGGAAATCCAGAGACAGGCGATTGATGGATCATGCCTTAAATTAGCCCCGCCCTGTAGCCAGCACTAGGCCCCAGGCACCCCCTCATTCTGACCCCCTAAAATCCTGACCTCCGAAATGCAGCAGGCAGCTGGGGCTGTTCCTGAAAGGATCCAACTGGCAAGTTATGGCAGCTGTCCCACCCCAGAGCTGGCTTCATCTCCGTGCCAAGCAAGCCGTCCCCATGGTGTGTTATATGCAGCTGTTCCCAGCTGCCCTGCCCCAGAGATGGCTGCATCTCAGCGCCAGGGGAGCCTTCCCCATGTGGTTTTATATGGGGCTGTTCCCAGTTGTCCCAGCCAAGAGGTGGTTGCATTTCAGCACCAGGTGAGCCTGCCCCAGGTGGTGTTATATAGGAGTGTTGCCACCCAGCCTACCCCAGTGGTGGCTGCATCTCAGCATCAGACGGGCCATCCCCTTGCGAAGTCTCGTGCCCAGATTATTGGCCGCTGCCTCCGAGGGCCGACAAAACACGGGGCCATCCACAGCCCCAAGCTGTGACACTCCACAGGCCTTCTGTTAATTCCCAACTGAGCCCCACGGAACCCATCCCATCTGGAGTCCAAGAAAATCGGGGGGCTAGGACCAGGCCTTGCGCCAGCCGGATCCTGCTACCTGCAGCAGCGCCCCCAGCTGGCTGCGCCTTGCCCTTGTCCCGAGGGCATGCTCTAACCTGGCCGCTGCCAAGAATAGCCATGCTGCCAGTCCCCCAGTGCCTTGGGGGTAGGCTCAGAGCCAGGGATCTGCCCCTAAGGACAGGCAAAGATGCATGGGGAGAAAAAGATGTGTTTGGAAAAGGAGGGGGCACAGGGAGGCAGTATCTTAGGCAGTCCGGGCTCAAGTGAACTGCACGTTTGCTCCCCTAATGCTCCATGGGGATGACTCCCCATGCACTGAGTTGCAGCCACCTCTGGGGTGGGGCAGTTGGGGAACAGCTGCACATAACGCTGCTTTGGGATAGCTGATCTGACGCTAAGATGCAGCCACTTCAGGGGCAGAGCAGCAGGGGAACAGCCATGCACATCAATTGAAGCACAGTCACCCAGCACATCAAGTCCGGTAGTCACAAACACGAGGGAACACCCTTTCACTCCCTCCCCCCCATGCACAAACACTGCTAATGCCAAAGCTTTGCCCCCCAGCCTGTCCTTGGCCCCCTGCCCTGGGACCTCCCATCCCTTGGCCCACGGGGACAGCCCTCTGCTGTCTCTGGAGCTACATACATCAAAGCCGGTGGTGGGGTCCCATCCCACGTGGGTGACGTGCCTGTAAATGGAACAAAGATTAGCCAGGTGCCCTGCCCCGTTCCCTGCCCCCCAAGCCAGCCAGCCCTTGTCCTGGGCCGGGCGGGAGCCGGCGCCCCGTCAGGCCAGCCCAGTGCCCCGTCCCCCTGCTCTCACTTGAAGCCGCTTGGGGCGCCGATGTCAGCCTTGGAGATCTTCTTCTTCCCTTTCTTCTTCTCGGCAGCGGGGGGCACCGGCAGCCCCCGGTACCGGGACGAGGTGATGTCCGGGTTCTGGATGTCCATGGTAATGAGGTTCAAGGAGGGGGAACTCGGCTGTTTGCTGGGACCTGTGGGAAAGAAAGGGGGGGCGGTGG